TCTTGGTGAATAATCTTCCCTTCAACCTGTTGCTGTGGAGTAGATTCCCACTCATAGTGAGCCTACAGGACAGAGTAGAACTTCCCCCACAAGGTTTCCAAGCTGTGGAAGCAGAATGTAACATCTTTCGCTCACAGAGCAGCTGGTGATTTTGAACTACCAACCCTTTTGGTTAGCAGGCAAGCACTTGACCATGGCACCATGTGGGCATCATATCCCCCTTTCCTAAACCCACTGCTATAGAATTGATTTCAACTCATTGCAACTATGGTAGTTAAAGTTGTGTGTCAATTTGGCTGTCCCGTGGTTTCGAGTGGCTGGGCAGCTGGATGTAGTTATTCACCGTGATGAGATTGTAATCACTTTCATGGTGGAATCTGCTGTTAGTAGCTAGGGAACTGCCTTTAGGGGTGTGGCCTGATTCCACTATGTAAGGACAAGCTTTGGGAAAGGTCTCTTACCTTTTTGGCACGTCTGGATCCTGCATTTGGCTGAGTTGCCTGCCAGTCTTGGGATTGATTGTTCCTGGACTTGAGCTAGTGGCCTGTCATGTTGTCTACTAATCTTGGGACTGTGCCATTTTACTTGTTGATTTGGGTTCATTAGGCAGAGCTGATGCCCAAGGTCAGGGGGCCTTCACCCAGCCCCTAGAGCTAGCACTTTGAACTCAGACTTCTAGCCTCCTAATCCAGAAAAGAATAAGCCCCTGCTTGTTAAACCCATCCACTTGTGGTATGTCTGTTCCAGCAGCGCTAGAGAACCAAGACAGCAACATTTTTTTCAGGACAGAGTAGAACTGCCCCATGGAGTTTTCAAGGCTGTAAATCTTCACCAAAGCAGGCTGCCTCATCTTTTTCCTACAGAGCAGCTGGTAGGTTTCAAACCACCATCGTTTGGTTAGCAGCTGAAAGGTTTAGCCAGTGTACCACCAGAACTCCTTATCTCCCTTCCTAGGGTCAGGTGAAATTTATTCTGTAAACTGTACCTTACAGTTTTTATTCTAATGTTACAAAGTGAGACTAATGGGATCAACTGGTTGAGAAGTTATCTGGAGGGTATCTTGTCTAAAAAGAGGTTGAAATGCAAAATGAGCCCATCTGTCCAGCAGACATGAAAGAAAGAAGCAGGATCAAGACTTCATCTATTTTACTGTGACATTGCTTGGAGAAGTTTTGCCATTATTTTTCTAGGCAGGACCAAAACCAAAGCAAACCTACCACCATCAAGTTGAATCTGACTCATAGTGACCCACATTGGGTTTCTGAAACAGTAAATCTTTACAGAAGTAGATTGCCCAGTGGGATCGAACCACCAGCCTTCTGGTTAGCAGTCAAATGCCTTAGGCACTGCACCACCAGAGCATTTTTAGGCAGAACATAGACATACATAGAAATCATAGAGTTGGCACGGTTGTGGTTACAAAATTATGCAGGATTCCTAAACAAAAGAACATTAGGATCACAATTAAAAAAAAAAATCTTACTAATATGCCTGTACTTTCCAAACACATTCTTAATATATTAATGTCTGATTATCAGTCTCTCTGTGTTGATCTACACATAGGTTTTATAAATGTAATCATACTATATGCCCTGGAATCTATTTTTTCTATTGACAGTATATCTTATTTTTCCCAACTTAGCATTTGCCAACTGCATGGTGTTCCATTCTATGGATGTTCTAAGATGAATTGAAGCAGTCAGCTTTTTGGAGTCAGGCAGTTGCCTGAGTCATTCCTCATATACCCTGTCCAGCTCCCGTGTCTTAACCAGTTTTATTCAATCGTGAGGATGTACGTGGCCCCTTCTTGGCCCTGAGAAGTGGGACTTGAGGGAGGAGGAGCTGATTCAGGCAGGATTGAACAGCCCAATCTAAGATCCAGATCAGCATCCCCAGAATTAGGCACTGGCCAGAAACCTTCCTGCTCAAGTAGCTTGGGGCTTTGGGAGAGAGTTTAGATTCCATAAATGGCAGGTAGAGTTAAGGGGCCAGAAACAGGAACATGCATGAGCTTAAGTCAGGATGGGAGACATCAGCACACCTGGGCTAAACTTCTCATTCCTCCCCAGCTCTGGCTTCTCTGGACCCTGCTTCATCAGTAGAGGAACCCCATGGAGGACTAACTTGTTCTTGCCATTCTAGGACCATGACTGATGTAAGTTGGTATTTCTCTCTCCTTCTTGAGATAGTGTGATATTTAAGTCATGTGGCTGTTTCTGTTGGTAATCTTGAAGCTTTCTACCTAAGAGAATCCCACCACTGAAGCTGCTCCTCGGTTCCCCCGTTCTAGTGAAGGAGGCACCAAGTATCCCAGCGTTGTCTCCGTGGGCCCCTCTCTTTCCAACCACTGTCGTCGTCCGTGGAAAAGGGTATCATGCTTGATAAAGTGGAGAGTCAGAGAAAAGGTGAATACCTTCAACAAGATGGATTTACACAGTGGCTGCAACGTTGGGCTCAAGCATAGCAAGGATTGTGAGGATGGTGCAGGACCAGGCAGTGTCTCATTCTGTTGTATATCGGGCCACCATGAGTCGCAATTGACTTTACAGCACCTAAGAACAACAACAGGAGCTCTGGTAGCACAGTGCTGAAGGCACTTGACTGCGAACCAGAAGGTTAGCGGTTCAAACCCACCAGCCACTCCTCGGAAGGAAGATGGGGCAATCTACTTCTGTAGTGATACTGCCTCGGAAACCCAAGGAGGGGTCGCTATGGGTCAGGTCCGACTCGACGGCACATAACGACAACAACAACGTCATCATATCCATCAACAAGTTTTTCAGCATCTTCTGTATGTTCCGTCTTCTATCAAGAGTAGTGACAGAGCAGTGAAGGAAAGTAGTCCCCTCTGGGAAATACTTGAGCTCCTGTCAAAGAATAACTCAATGAATACAGTTAATGATTAACCCACTTTTACTTCTATACAGAGAAAACCAATGCAGTCGATTCTCATTATTCAAGTAGTTATGTTCTATGAAGTCTAATGAACACTAATTCTCATACATTAGCTAGTACTGAACCAGCTAGGAATTTTTTTGCCACTGTATGCATGCCTGTGCCATGCACTCCCATGAGTACTTTTAGTGAGTAGGCAAATTTGGGAATACGGAATCTGCAAATAAGGAAGAGTGACTGTAGTATATTGTTTCACCTGTCAGAGAACAAACAGGATTCATATAAGAGAAAGGAAAGACAGTGGAAGACTGCAGACATTTTATCAGCAACAAACCTTTCCCTTTTTCAAGGTAAGATGGTGATTAGCAGGCAGCTAGCAAACAGGCCAGTCCCTGGGTGGTAAAAACGCTTAATGCATTCAGCTGCTAACTGAAAGTTGGAGAGTCAGGTGTAGCCAGAGGTGCCTCAGAAGAAAGTCCTGGTGATCTACATCACAAAAATCAGCCATTGGAACCCTATGGAACACAGTTCTGCTGTGACACACATGGCTTTGCCATGAGTCAGAATCAATGGCCCAGCAACTGGTTTTTATTATATTACATTTTTTAGCAAATAGGCCAGTTGGTCAGGGTCCTCTGCCCTTAGAATGCTGATAGTCACCTAAGGAAGCAGCATCAGTTGTTTATGGATTCTGTGGAAGACCTTGAGCGTCTAACTGTGATGTGTCCGTGGTAGGCCGTGTATAGTACTACCATTTGTTGTCACTTCTGTTTTGGTTTGTCCAGGTCTGTACCATTTCCCTCTTCAAGAATTTCTCATTCCCACATCAACTCTGTGATGTGATGAGTTAGTGAGGATGGTCCCGTTAGGCTACACAAGAAAATTTGGAACTGCTCCACAGCCCTGAATTTTCCAGAGAGAGAAGATGGAGTTTGAAATTGCTTAGTCCCAGCCTCAGGTTATGTGAGATCTTATGCTTGTGAGTTTTTAGGATCAGAGAGGAGAGTGAATGGTCTTTAGGGATTCCCTAATTGACGAACACTAGTATCAAAGTCCAATTTATCATTGACACCATCTTGGATGACATCTGTATTATTTGCGGTATCCTGTATCGTTATCCTGTAACTTGGGGACAAAAACCAAACCAAATCTACTGCCATTGAGTTGATTCCAACTCATAGCAGCCCTTTTTCGGACAGAGTAGAACTGCTCCAAGGGGCTCTGGTAGCATAGTGTGCCTCAGGCACTTGACTAAAGGCTGGCGGTTCAAACCCACCAGCCACTCCTCGGAAGGAAGGTTGGGCAATCTACTTTCGTAGTGATAATGCCTTGGAGACTCAAGGAGGGGTCACTACGAGTCGGGCCTGACTTGATGGCATATAACAACAACAACAACAACAGAACTGCTCCGTAGAGTTTCTAAGACTATAAATCTTTATGGAAGCACACTGCCTCATCTTTCTCGTGCAGGACGCCTGGTGGGTTCAAATTACCCACCTTCTGATTAGAAGCTGAGTGCTTTAACCACCACACCACTCAGGGACAAGGAAGATGTTAAGTGAGGAGAAGTCAGTGCTAACAAGTAAGAAGTGATCCAGATGCATAAGCATTAGATGATGTTAGATTCCCAGGTCCTAGAAAGTCTTTAGAAGTTTTTATCCTACCTAAGTATGCAAATCAGTATATCCGTAATAAAAGCAATTGATTTACTCAACGTCATAAAAAAGATGCTTATGAAGTAATCTAACAGAATGAAGAACTTGAGGCTTGAAGATGTTCCTTTATTTAATGGAAATCATTTTTCTGTGATAGAAACTTTATAAGTGCATTTGAAAAAATGTATTCATTTTGTTTCCTTAAAGGGAAAAGAGGATACATACGCACATATGTATGTTGTTGTTAGGGGCCACTGAGTCAGTTCTGACTCTTAGTGACCCTCTGCTCAACAGAAAGCACCGCCCGGTCCTGTGCTATCCTCAGAATCGTTGCTATGTGTGAGCCCATTGTAGCCATTGTATCAATCCTTCTTTTTCTGGGTCTCTTTTTGGCTGACCCTTTGCTTTACCAAGCATGGTGTCCTTCAGGGACTGTTGACTACTGGTAACATGACCAAAGTATGTGACACCAAGTTGGACCATCCTCGCTTCTATTCTGTGTGTGTGTGTGTGTATGTATAATCTTTTCCCTGTAAGGAAGGAAAACATGGAAACTTTCATATGTATGCACATGCACACACATTATTTTCTTTACTAGAGAAACTACGATTATTTGATATATTTACCAGACAGGTTGGGATATAGGTTGGGATATCTTATCCAGGAAATTTCCCTACTGTAACAGAATTCTTGTAGAATAAGTAGACCCTCTGCTTTAGTCACATCAATTTCCTCCCTCTTCCCTAGTACCACAGGCTTTCACCCTACCTCATTGTTATAATTCCCCCTTCTTGTACTGTTGTCCTTCCTACCTTCCTGTCCTCTTGGAAATATTTTCTTGAATTTTACGAGTAATACGTGGGTTTTTGGTTTCAGGGATTGGTGACGTTCAGGGATGTGGCCATTGCTTTCTCTCAGGAGGAGTGGGAATGCCTGGACCCTGCTCAGAGGGACCTGTATGTGGATGTGATGCTGGAGAACTACAGTAACTTGGTCTCCCTGGGTAAGGGCATTTCCCTGAAATGATGTCACATCTGCTCCCTGAAACACTCAAGTCCCTCAATTCTTCATGGGGAATTTCAGGGCTGTCTTGGAAGGAACTAGCTGAATTTGCTATATTCCCAAAGGAATGCTTCGGTACTTGTTGAGTTAGATGTGAGGGATCTTCCCTATCCCTCAGTGACTTTCACACCCTTCTCTGGCCTTTCCTGAAAGTGGCTCTTTTCTTTAAAGACCAAAGGGGCTGGGTTTCTGTAGATGCTGTATGTCCTGCAACTCAAAGCGTGGCTGTTTGGTTTGAAGAACTGTAAGAAGGCCAAGGCAGAGGGGGTGAAGGAGAGAGTGCTAAGAAACTAGTCAGGGAGCTAACCCCCAAAAAACCCAAACCCACTGCCATCGAGTCAATTCTGACTCATAGTGACCCCCATAGGGTTTCCAGGGCTGTAGATCTTTATGGAAGCAGACTGCCCCATCTTTCTTCCATGGAGTGGCTAGTGGTTTGAACTGCCAGCCTTTTGGTTACCCGCGCAGTGCCTTAACCACAGCACCACCAGAGCTCCTTAGTCAGGGAGATAAGCAGGAGCCACAGAACAGGCAATTTGTTGGTTTTTCGGAGATCCACGGGTTGTTTTCTCAAGTGATTAGTAACCACAATCGGGCTTAACTGTTTTTCTTTTTTTACGTTTTAAACTTTTTTATTGTTAAGTATTGCGTAAATACCTAATATCAACCTCTTCTGGGATTTGTTAGGAATGCACAGTCTCGGGTCCCACCCCACTCCAATGGAACAGACTCTGCATTTATAAAAGGTCCCCAGGAGATTCGGATGGACGGAAAGTGAGAAGCCTGGTTCTTGGTTATGTTGTGATCCACGTGCAGGGGGCACAGCTAGAAACAGGGTCCTAATAGCCTCTACCTTTCCAGGAGTCTGGATTGAATGAGCAGAATTTATTTAATACCCACATGAAATTTAAATTCCCACATTTCGTTAGTTATAACAAATTTGAAATTCAGTGTTATAATATGTGAACTTTGCATTTAACGTTGTGTGAACATCCTAAAAATGTCTCATGGAATTTGTTTTCCTCTTAGCAAAATAACAACAGTAATGATAGTACTAGTTATATTGTTAAAAATAATCAAAATTCTAATAAATTGAAATATAAGGTTTATTCTGAGCAGTTATTCTGTATACATAGAGGAAGACCTTTCTGATTCCAGATAAAAGGAAATGGCTTGAAGTTTGCTAGTTACAATGAAACTTATCAAGAGAAGGGAGAGAAGAATAGATCGTAAGTCCTTGGCTAATCTTGAGCCATTGGCTAATCTTACATGATTCATTGAACCTTGCCCACCCCACTTTACCTAGATCAACTGATACCAGGTCAGCAGGTGGTTTCTGGCCCTCCACTCACCTTAGTGCCTAAGGCACTTGACTGCTAACCAGAAGGCTGGCGGTTCAAGCCCACCAGCCACTCCTCCAAGGAAAGTTGGGCATTCTACTTCTGTAGAGATACTGCCTCAGAAATCCAAGGAGGGGTTGACTCTAGGGCACATAACAACAACAACAACTCATCTTTTGAAATTCAAATTTAGTAAGCTAAGCTTCAAACCCAAAGAAAAGATTAGCAACTTTGGGTGAAAGAAAAGTGTTGGAAGCATTAATTTAGGTCAGGAATTTCTTTATAGTGAATATTTGGTTTTGTGGGTAAGAAAAACCTTAAAATCAAGTAAGATGTCTGTTAATTTTTTTCTTTGACACTTTACTAGGCTCTATTTTAGGCATTACAAATACATTAATTTATTTTTCCTTCACAACATCCCCATTAGGTAGGTACTATTTTCATTCCCTTTTTATAGATGAGAAAGTTAAGGCACCTACAGTTTAAGTAACTGTCCTACATCATATAACTGGTAGGAGGGAGTGGCAGGGATTGAACCTAGGAAGTCTGGCTCTAGGGTCTGTTCTCAACCAGCTGAATTTCAATTTGCTCTGTGTTTATTTACTCTCAAGAGATGGAGCCTGAGTGTGCTTGAAACAAGATCATTTTCCTGCGTCTGTGATCTCATGTTCTTCATTCCCATCATCCTAATCTTCTGAATCTTGACCAATGTGATTTTTTTTACCTTTGAACCAAAGACCAAACCAAACTCACTGCTGTCAAGTCCTTTTCTGACTCATGGCCACCCCTCCTTGGGTTTCTTAGGCGGTATCTATATGGAAGTAGATTGCCTAGTGTTCCTTCCAAGGAGTGGCTGTAAATTTCACCATCCACCACCAACTGCTATCGAGTTGCCTCTGAGTCATGGCTACCACATGTGTGTCAGAGGAGAACTATGCTCCACAGGGTTTTCAGTGGCCAGGTTTTCAGAGTTAGATCATCAGTGCCTTTCTTCCAAGATACTTCTGGGTGGACTTGAATGTCCAACCTTTCAGTTAGCAGCCAAGCCCATTAACTGTTTACGCCACTCAGGGACTCCAAAGGCTGAATCAAAAGGTTTGAATCAAAATGTTTTGAGCTTATAATAAAAAAAAAAAGTTGACTCTGACTCATGGCACCCGTATGTGTGCAGAATAGAACTGCTCTCTGGAGTGTTCAAAGCTATGACCTTTTGGAAGCAGATCAGTCATCAGGCCTGTCTTCATAGGTGCCTCTGGATGGGTTTGAACTGCCAGCTTTTTGGCTAGCAGTTGAACACTTAACCACTTGTACCACCCAGAGACAGTACAGTCATTACACGGTCCAGATACATGCCTAGGGTGTATCTCCAAAAAGGAACTATAACAGAATTCTCTTTATATATCACATAAACTCCTGAAGTTGTATAAAAAGCCACTGATAATCTAATAGCAATCTTTAGCTTCTTTATCTTGCAGTAAACAAGGCCATTAAGTTAGCTAGGAGTTAAATTTTTTCCTTCAAAGCTATAGCTTTAGCAAGCATTTGATGATTTTATTAAAGAGCCACAACATTTAACGCATTAGGAACATAATTTTCCTTACCTCTTGAAAGTTGTTGAATTCTGTTTTTTTAAACTTTAAGACTTAGTGTCTACAAACCTGTCAGCACAGGCACCCCCTTAGATTTTTTTTATCTCATTTACTAATTTTCTTTGTTTTAGAACTCTGTGGGGTTGTGAAAAAAAACTTGTTAAAAGTCTGCCAAAGTAGCAACTGTAAATCTAAATTATTCTTAATGAAAGGCAGACACTTTACCATTAAAACCTAATTTTACCAGAAATTAAGGTAATAATGAGTATATGTGTAAGAGGCTAGATTCCTTAAAGAGTAAGTTGTTAACTGTTTCATGCTTGCAGACCCTTCTTTTAAAGTAAATTATCTACTAAAAAAACAAACACTGCCATCAAGTCGATTCCAACTTAGCGACCCCCATTGGGTTTCCAAGGTTGTAAATCTTTATGGAAGCAGACTATCCAATCTTCCTTCCTCAGAGTGGCTGGTGGGTTTGAACCATGGACCTTCTGGTTAGCAGCCAAATGCCTTAACCACTACACCACCAGAGCTCCTTAAAGCATATACCAGAAAACCAAACTCATTGCCATTGAGTTGATTATGACTCATAGCGACCTCCACTGGGTTTCTGAGGGGGTAAATCTTTATGGAAGTAGATTGCCCAGTCTTGTTTCTGTGGAGTGGCTGGTGGGTTTGAACCGCCAACCTTCCGGTCAGCAGTCACATGCCTTAGGCACAGTGCTACCAGAACTGCTTAAAGCATATACAGAAGGGATTATTTATGTATCAAGAAGTTATACTTAATAGTGATGTACACTGTGCTGAAGAACACTTTGGCAACTATGCCATTAGGACCAGGCTAACACTAGAAATGACTGGTTTGTGGTCTTGCTGTGGAGTGGAGCATGGCTCAGCCCATGAGTTAGCTGTAGAATCCAATACCAAAATAGACACACAGACCCATAGACAGTGACTTATGACAAGTGTGAGCTGTAGAGAGTAACATACAGTGATTTCCTGATGAAGTCAGCAATGTTGGTCTTTGACCTTGTGTGCATGGAGAAGGTAGAGCTCATTCCTTTTTCTCCCAACAAATCACATATAAATAACCAGATAATATATCAAGGTGGGAAGTTCATACAACAAACTGGAGTTAAATAAAGTCTTAGAGGGATGTGTGGCCAAGAAAACAAGCCACATGTTGCAGAAAACTTAGAAAAACTCGGTTACAAAATAAAACCTTGAAAAGCTCTTCATAGCAAGTAAATTTGATTAAGCAGCACACCTAGAAGGTGGGTGACTACACTTAAGGGCATGATTGATGAATGCTCACATTTTGGTCTGAGAGACCATCCACACTAGAAGGAGAGGGGCTTGTTAAGGTGATCTCAGTGGAATCCTCTAGAAAACTCTCAAATCAGGACATTAAGATCACAAAAGCTGAAAAAGCTGAGTTTATTTGACAGGAAACAGTGGATGCTTGAGAGTTGGGTCAGTAAATCTCTTAATCTAATTCACTTCTAATGGGTGTTATCTTTAATTTGTCTTTTGTTTCTACTATTGAGATTTTTTTATTACAAAGGAAATAAAATGTGTGGTTGTTTTTTTTTTTTTTTTTTTTTTTCAGATTTGGAGTCAACATATGCGACCAAAAATATATTTTCAGAGAAGAATATTTTTGAAATAAATTTTTCCCAGTGGGAGATAAAGGAAAAAAGTCAAACCATTGGCCTTGAGGCATCCATTCTCAGAAATGACTGTAAGTGCAAAAGCCAATTTGAGGAACTACAGGGACATCAACAGGGATATTTCAGTCAAATGATAATCAGCTATGAAAACACGCTTGCTTACAGAAAAAGTAGCTCTCTTACTCCATACCAGAGAATCCATCACGGAGAGAAACCCTGTGTATGTAAGGAGTGTGGGAAGGTCTTCAGTCATGGCTCAAAACTTGTTCAGCATGAGAGAACTCATTCTCCTGAAAAACACTTTGACTGTAAAGAATGTGGGAAGGCCTTTTTTAGTGCCTATCGGCTTACTGTGCATCAGAGATTGCATACTGGTGAGAAACCCTATGGATGTAAGGAATGTGGGAAGACCTTTAGTTGGGGATCAAGCCTTGTTAAACATGAGAGACTTCATACTGGTGAGAAACCCTACCAGTGTAAAGAATGTGGGAAAGCCTTTAGCCGGGGCTATCAACTTACTCAACATCAGAAGATTCATATTGGTGTGAAATCTTATGAATGTAAGAAATGTGGGAAGGCCTTTTTTTGGGGTTCAAGTCTTGTTAAACATGAGATAATTCATACTGGTGAGAAACCTTATGAATGTAAAGAATGTGGGAAGGCCTTCAGTCGCGGCTATCAACTTACTCAGCATCGTAAGATTCATACTGGTGAGAAACCTTACGAATGTAAAATATGTGGAAAGGCTTTTTGCTGGGGCTATCAGCTCACTCGACATCAGATATTTCATACTGTTGAGAAACCCTATGAATGTAAGGAATGTGGGAAGGCCTTTAACTGTGGCTCAAGCCTTGTTCAACACGAGAGAATCCATACTGGCGAGAAACCCTATCAGTGTAAAGAATGTGGGAAGGCCTTTAGTCGTGGTTATTACCTTACTCAACATCAGAAAATTCATACTGGTGAGAAACCTTTTGAATGTAAGGAATGTGGGAAGGCCTTCAGTTGGGGCTCAAGCCTTGTTAAACATGAGAGAATCCATGCTGGTGAGAAATCCTATGAATGTAAAAAGTGTGGGAAGGCCTTTTGTAGTGGGTACCAACTCACTCGACATCAGATATTTCATACTGGTGAGAAACCCTATGAATGTAAGGAATGTGGAAAGGCCTTCAATTGTGGCTCCAGCCTTGTTCAACACGAGAGAATCCATACTGGCGAGAAACCCTATCAATGTAAAGAATGTGGGAAGGCCTTTAGTCGTGGCTATCACCTTACTCAGCATCAGAAAATCCATACTGGTGAGAAACCTTTTAAATGTAAGGAATGTGGGAAGGCCTTCACTTGGCGCTGTGGCCTTGTTAAACACGAGAGAGTCCATACTGGTGAGAAACCTTATGAGTGTAAAGAATGTGGGAAGGCCTTTAGTAGTGGCTATCAACTCAGTATTCATCAGAGATTTCATACTGGTGAGAAACCTTATCAGTGTAAGGAATGTGGAAAGACGTATATTCGTGGTACAAGCCTTGCTCAACATGAGAGAATTCATAGTAGTGATAAACCCTTTGGATACAAGGAATGTGGGGAGGGCTTTATATGGACAGCTTACTCAAATGAGAAAATTCATACTGGTGAAACTTTAGGAATTTAAGAGATGTGAAGTAACTTTTTTTGTGTATGGACAACTTAAAATGAGAAGAAATCTTACTCTTGAGAAGCCTTATTAATGTAAAGAATGGTCAAAAGCCTTCACTGATTATGGACAACTTACCTGATGTCAGCCAATTTTATAGTAATGAGAAACCTTTTGAATACAGAGACTATGAAAAGGCCTTTAGACGTCTGTATGATCCTAATGAATTTCAGTATATACTATTGTGAAGCTCTTAAATGTAAAGAATATGGGGAAATCTTTATCTGTGGCACAAAGCTTGTTCAAGACAAGAGAATTCATACTTGTGAGAAACACTTTAAGTGTAAGGAGTGTGAGAAGGACCTAGACATGACTGGGACCTTGCTGTACACCAGAGAATTCATACTGCTGTGAAATCCTGTGACTGTAATGCAAAGGCCCGTACACATGGTAGAGACCATAAAGTACACCAGAGAATCCATCCTAATGAGAAACTCTTTGAATTAGAATTGTAGGAAAGTTTTGAGATCACTGCTACTGCAAGTATTGCCCGTAGACTGGTGCCGGTCCACAAAATGTTACTTGTCCATCAAGAGATAAATACAGAAATGGAGTAAATGTTTGGAAACTGTTATAGCAGTTTCATATTGCCACACCATAGTTGTAATATTTTACAAAACTATCGATTGATAAATGATTGGAAATTGAAAACAAATTGGTCCTTTATCAGAAATCATTTGAGAGACAACATTTACACTTTTAAAACTTGAGAGAAATCACAGTATGATTTCTTAATTTGTATAAGAAAGCCTTTGCTGATTCCAGTAGCAGACTGTACTACAGGAAGATTAGTGAATGCAGGAGTCACTTTCTTCATGCTCATAAATTAACATAAGAGAATTGATGGCAGGTATTTTCAAGTAGTGAATGCATAGAAACCTTCCCAAACTATTTAATGTTTGTTAAAGTTCAGCAAATTCATCTACAGAATAACTCTTGTTAATATAACAAATACAGGAAAACCTTTATTTGTGACACAAACCAGTTATTGTCATCAACATCCTACCTGTAGGATGTTGAGCAATATGCTTATGATGATGGTAAAAACTCACTGTGTTGAGTCGATTCTGACTCATAGTGACCCTATAAGATCAAAACACCAAATGTGTTTCCATCCAGTGGATTCTGACTCATAGTGATCCCACAAGTTTTCCAAGGCTGTAATCTTTCTCCCATGGCATGGCTGGTGGGTTGAACTGCCGTCTTTTCATGTAGCAGCCAAGCTCTTAACCACTGTGCTGTTGTAAACATTAAGTGGATTTAGAACATGTCAGATTATTGGAAGAGTATCTGGTTTGTAACCTATGCTTCATTTAAGTATTTACCTGATTATTCTCATTCGTATTACTACTAGTGAATTCTTGGGCAAGGAAGGCCCATTTGGTATAATGAATTTAGAAAAGCTAACCACTTCGCCATTTGAATTTCAGATAGTTAATTCTGGATAACATCTACCAAAACATACAGAACTGGAAAGGATTTTCATTCAGAGCTAATCTCTAAACCTTCATCAAAACTTACAGCTGGAAAGAAATGGGTTTAGTAAACATTAACATGTGGGGAATATACCTGTTGAAAAAGCAGGGAGAGTTGTGAAATAATTTGTTCTTAATAAATTCCAACAAATAGGTAGCCAGGCAATAAATAAAATTCCTTGCCCACATTTCAAGATAAATTAAAAAATAAAAAGAGAACAAAAGAATTAGGCAATGCTTTAAAATTTTATTTTGAAAAATGACAGATAATCAGAAAAAATTTAAATAGTATAATGAACACCCATATATTCACTAATGGTCAATATTTTGCCATATTTTCTTTTTCTGTAAATGTATATATGTGTATGTACACTCACGCACCATTTGACTTTCAATGTAGAAACCATGATACTTTATCCCTGAACACTTCAGCAATGTATATTTCAAGAATAAGAACAGCCTCATTCAGAATTCAAATACCAGGGTTACACATAAGAAAATTCACAGTAATTCTTTAGTATCCTTTTGTATTCACTTATTTCCCAGTTCTCCCAAAGATTTATCATTCTGATTTTATTTTATAACCAGCATCCTCTCTACATTTATGCATTGTATTTGGCTGTCATGCCTCTAGATTTTAGTCTTGAAAAGACTTTTTGAAGAATTCAAGACTGTTGTACAGAATGCCACACATCCCAAGTTCATTTTCCTCTTGGTGAAACTTGTGCCTCTGTTCTTCATATTTTCCATAAAATGAAGATAGAGCTAGAGGTTTAAATATTTCTGGCCAGAACACTGCATAGGTGGTAAGGTATACTCATATTGCAACACATCAGAAACAGTCTATTGTTTCTATCACTGATGCTAAGTTTGATCACTTGTTTAAGATGGTGACTGCTAAAGTTCCCCATTATAAAGTTATGTTGTTGTTGTTGTTGTTGTTATGTGCCATTGAGTCAGACCCGACTCATAGCGACTCCTCCTTGGGTTGCCAAGGCAGTATCACTACGGAAGTAGATTGCCCAACCTTCCTTCCGAGGAGTGGCTAGTGCATTTGAACTGCCAGCCTTCTGGTTAGCAGTCAAGTGCTTTAGCCACTATGCTACCAGAGCTCCTTAACTTGAACTAGATTTTGTTAATCTGAACAAGGAAATATCAAAAAAAGACACCATTATAGAGTCATGAATAAGCACAGATGTAATTACAGGCATGGAGGAGATTTTCCTAAATTGAAGGTAATACAGTGTTGAAACATGATTGAACCAACAGAGGAAATGGTTGAAAGTTTGGTCCAGGTTCTCCCTTTTAGAAACAGCACTTGGAAATTGTTAGCTCCTTGGGTAAAAATTTCAAAGTGAAAATAATGAAAAATTTTGTGAGCTCATCTTACATAGATAGTAACAAAATTGGATGGAGATAGCTTCTGAAAAGCAAAAAGCAGATGAATATAACTAAATGCAAAATTCTAAAAAAATATCAGCAAACAATGTAAATGTCACTTGTCAGAACTATGCAATAGAAAATAATGTATGGATATACAGACCCAAACTTTTCTGGCTTAAATATAAGTATAGGTTAACACGGGGAAAAATGAAAAATGGAATCAGCATAAATACCTAAATTTGTTCTTAGCACTTTTTCATAAATTTTATGGCTTTTGGAATAGCCATAATTAGCGACTCCATGTTGTACATCTGTCCCCCACATCTACATAGTACCTGTATAAGGTACGTGGGGTAACTATGGGTCAGAGGAATCCATAGATAGATAAATAATGACTTATTCAATTATAAAAAGTCATAGTTTAATATTTGGAAGTCAGAATGCATCTTAAAATTAATGGCTCCTCATAATCACTTTCAGTGGGTGGCCACGACTTAGTGCTAGTGTCAAAGCATATTATGATGAACTACAGTGGGTGTCCATCCTCACACAGTTGAACTCAACCCTTTCAAACTGATTCCTTTCCAAGAATAAGAATGTCAGTTCCATCAAAACGTCTGCATTGGCAACCAAATCCTTTGGTGTCATCCTGGTCGTCCACTATAACCCACACCTCATTTTGACGTCCATTTTGTGCAGATAGGGCAACCATAATATCACCAGTCAGTCATTCACCATCCGGTAGTTGGCAGCACTGTCCTATGCAATTTCAAATTTTAATAATCAAATGTAACACAAAGCAGAATATATTGAGTGTTTTAATAGAATAAAATCATTGCTAATAGGTTAGCATGTTGCTCCTGAATACCATATCTGCATGTTAACTAAGGTCATATGGAGACGGTGCCTTATCCCAGCATTTCTGAAATTAAGTCCCAAGGATCACCAGTGTTTATTTGTACTTGAAAAGCAAGGAGAGTCTCTAATTAAAGAAGCTTATGAAGTTTATATCTGTTGATCTATTTAATCTCTTAAGGAACAATCAAAAGCATTTTACCAGCTCATCAAAAAACTAGACACTAACAAGAATAATTAACTTTATTTAAATTGGTGTATGTCAGACTTTACCAGGGAAATCCCCATTCCCATTACCTGTTGTCATCTTAGGGATGTGAACCCGCATTGGGAAATGCTGTCATAACAAAAAGAGTGACTCTTAACATTGGAAATTTCCGTCACCAAGACTGGTGGTGAGCTCTGATGAAATACCAACAGCATCACACTCCCAAACAACTGCCTTTGCCTAATGTTGCATCTTAGTTATAAGTAAATCTTTGTTGTAACAAAGTAGGAATAGCTCCTGAATTTTATCAACTGCCATTTTATCATCTCTTTCTGTAATTATATAATATTTAATTAGTTGATGTGTCGATTTATACTGAGATTCTTTGACTTTTTCCCATTCTTGGAGATACCCATGTTAGCCATGGTGTACTATTCGTTTGTTGCACTGGGGTTGATTTATTTGTTACTATTTTATTTAAGAGGGAGCTCTGGCAGCATAGTGCCTAAGGCGCTTGACTGCTAACCAGAAGGCTGGTGGTTGAAACCCACCAGCCACTCCTCGGAAGGAAGATGGGGCAATCTACTTCCGTAGTGATACTGCCTTGGCAACCCAAGGAAGGGTCGCTATGAGTCGGGTCCAACTTGACGGCACATAACAACAACAACAACAACATTTTATTTAAGATAGTTCATCTCATGAGTAAGAATGTATGACTTTTATTTTTAATTGTATTTTTAAAGGTTCTGATATTTCAGAGACCTGCTCTTCAAATGTTAGAATTTGCTGAAAAATCATATGCTCTATGAATTCATCATGGCGAGTCCTTAAAAAGGTGGAATTAGAAATACCGTTTGATCCAGCAATCCCATTACTAGGTATATATCCTTAAGAAGTGAGAGCCAGGACAAGAACAGATACATGGACACCCATGTTCAATGCAGCATTATTTACAACAGCAAAGAGATAGAAACAACATAAGTGCCCATTAAAAAAAGATGGATAACCAAACTATACTACATAAACACAATGGAGTA